ACCTGAAACTTACAGGGTCATATCTCAAATCCCTCACTAGAGAGATGCTTATTTCCATGTTTTCTTTTTACAAATGACAGGTGTAAGGCTCCCTGGAAAAACTGGGTATACTTTCCGCTGTGTGCAAATATCTTTGATAAGTAGTGGGAGCTGCCTAGTGGAGCAGTCTGCAAGTCTAATGCAGCCTGTACTCAATCATGAGCTAGGGAGAGATCATTTTGGATAGTTAATAAAACTTCGGGTAACTCTGATGTTACTGATTCAAATATCACACTAGAATTTCTTCTGTACAGACATTGAGCTCTGTTTTATGTGGCTTTTCTTTTGTGATGGAGTAATAGAGTGCTTCAGGATGAACAGCAGTACCTTTTTCCCGTCAGAAGTCAACTGAAACTGAAGCAGGGAGCTTCAAAAGCTCCGTGAGCTGGCAAAGTGTATTTTCAGTGGAAGGCTACAAGCCCTTACGTTCCTGAAATGGTCTTCTACTAGGCAGAGCCTTTAAAATGTTGATGTGATGGTGTTAGATGAAAGACTAAACAGTCATCTCTCTCTAGAAATGCACCAAATTTAGTAAAACTGTACCTGGAACTGTCACCAAACTTACTGACTACTACAATTGCCTTTATTCTGAATTTCCTTCATTTAACAATAATCCTTTCCTTCATTCAACAAAACAAGCACAGTTGAAGTGCTACTTCATTCTTCTTGATTCTGTAGGCAGCATCCTAACATTGGGATTGAGTTTAACCAACTAACTGAGGAAGCTTGTTCATTGTTAGGATACATCAAAATTAAGCGAATGCTTGGCTATATAGTTTCTTAGAGAAAACTATTTATGTTCTCTATTTCTGACTTAATTTGTGTTGAATGGTGTGGTGTGTTTTTGTTTATAGCAAACCCCTAGGGAAACTGACTGCAAACTGTGATCTCAAGAACTTAAGTCCTTTTGGAACTAGAGCATGTTTAATAATGCATTTTGTTAATCAAACTCAGTTGGTAACTTGAATTCATCATGTAGTCAAGTAAAACGTTGCTTACGGTGACTTTTCTCAATTGGTTAGGCATTAGATGATGAATTTACAACAACAGGAAAGCAAAATCAATGGCACAGTAGACCTATTTCCGAATGGACCACCCAGCAAGTATGCCACTGGTTAATGGGAATGAACATGGAGCAGTACATTACAGAGTTCACGGCTATGAACATAGATGGACAGCAGCTAATGCAGCTCGACAGTGATAAGTTAAAGGTATGTGAATATCCCAGGATATACTTGTAACTGTATAAATCTCACTGCTTATTTGGACATGTTTTTAACCTTCGAAGTCTGTTTTCCTGTTTTTGTGGCTTTTTGGGGGGTAAAGTTTTGCTTTTGAAATACTTGGAGAGTATACAGTTAGATAATAATTGATGGTACAATTAAAGACAAGCCATTTTTAATCAGAAAAAATACCAGTATTTCTTCCTTGTTGGCATCTTGAGGAAATCAAAGTAAGCATAATTCCCCAAAGGGGCTTGATGTGTCTATCATCAGTCTCAGCATAAGGTCATAGCAAAACAAGATCCAGCCAATTCAAATGCATAGAATTGCAGGCTCCAGATTCAGAAATCTGTTTCTTCCCCATCTCCTCTTTGGATGGGAAATGGGAAGGCTAAAGTCATATCTGATGACTCTTTAAATGTTTCTGGTTTTTACTCCTGCTGAAAAAAATCTATTCTAAATCTTTCTTTTGGGTCTTTTCTTGCCATTTTACTTTTGGAAGCTGCATGGTATGTATCCCTTACAGTGCTAGTAAACTCTCTCAGTTTTTCTTTCTCATTAGATTACCAGACTGCATTTTGGACAGGCAAGATGCATGACTAAAATGAGGTTCATAAGGCAAATTATTATTAATGATCAATAGTAGGATTTGAGTGTTTTGCGGGGGGGGGGGGGGGGGGTTTTAATTTAAGTTCCAAAAAAACAC